ATGATGTCATTTTGCATCAAACAATTTTAACTATAGTTTATTAGTGGCGCCGTCTTTTGCAAACGGCGGAAATTATTTGTATTTCTAACAATAAGTTTGGAGAGCTAGTGTGAGAAATAAGCGTATTTTTTGGACCGACATATTAATGTGACTATTCTTCTTTATTCGTACGTCACGAATTTTTATCGTTAAATCCATTCAAGCATCCGCTCAAGCAGAAAGATAGAAGGAAAGCACAATTTTTCACCGTAAAGAAAGAGAGCACGAGTTTTACCATAAAGAAGATAGTATAAAAACACGGGTTTATTGTAAAGAAGGAAAGTACGGGTTTTTATTATAAAGAAAAAGTAAGAAAGGTGTAAATATCAATCATACGATTCACATTCAATCTCGCGAAAGCGATGAGCCTACGGATACACAATGAGAATAGGGTGCATTCATGCAACTTTCACACAATACGATTTGTGTTTCTCGTTTCGATGCATTCAATTAAGTTTAGCGTATCCGAGAAATAACATCATTGCTCAACAAGGGAATTGTTTACACAAAAAGCACTCTACTTCAGTATCGTTCATTTAATCGAACTCAAGTACAACAGTAGAGAAATAAGCGTAATTAATCTTATTCACTTTATTCACTTTCTATCTGTTTCACGAGATATCGCACTAAATTTCATATGAAAATAACAATAAGATCAATCCTCGATAATTCAATAATTCTTTAATAATATGTTTTAATCAAGTACAATTCTATATAATTCTTCTCTAATTAAATAGTAGGTGTATAAGCTTAAATCCGCTGTTTTTAGTCAGAAAAACACATTTTTTTCCCTAGGAAGCAAAAACAAATTTATTCAAAGTACTTGCTCTCGCTAACTATACATTTTTCCCATTTTTCGGGCAATTTGTATATACCACGCCAAAAAAATTCCTCTTTCGAGGCACTCATCAAGCCATTTTCGGACGTCTTCGTAAGAATCGAAGTACCGCTCAGCGAGCGCGTGGCTCATCGATGAAAACAGGTGATAGTCAGAAGGTCTGGTGAGTAAGCGGGATGGGATAGCACTTCTCAGTTGAGTGTCTCCAAGTAGTTTTGGATCATTGTTGATGTGTGCGATGGTGCGTTGTCGTGGAGGAAAATCAGCTTGTCATGTCTTTTCCAATAATGCGGCCTTTTTTCACGCAGAACACGGTGCAATTTGATCAGTTGTTGGTGATAGCGGTGAGCATTAACAGTTTCATTTCACCAGATTTTAACAGCTCGTAATTGATGACACCCTCCTGATCCCACCAAACGCACAGTATCGTCTTCCGTCCGAAATGATTTGATCTTGAGAAAGATGTTGATGATTGGGCGGAATCAACCCAAGATTTCTTGCGTTTAGGATTCTGAAAATAAATCCACTTTTCATCGCCTGCCACAATCCGATGCAAGAACGATTTTCTTTTTTGTCTGGCAAGCAGAATTTGGCATTTGTGTTTTGGCGTCGCTCCATCTGCCTATCGTTCATGCGGCATCCATTTTCTTTGGACCTTCCCCATGGCATGTAACCGCATGGAAATGGCTGCTTGAGAAACACCCAATTGCTCGGCAAGCATTTTTTGCGATTGGATATCGTCCTCGTCCAAAAGAGCCTGCAATTGACAACCTTCCTGGGCCGATTTTCACGCTTCTTGTCACTCAGGTCAAAATTGTCGTCATTGAATTGGCGAAACCAATCTCTGCACGTTGTTTCCGATAAAGCATTGTCGCCATAAGCCTCCACAAGCATTCGATGCGATTCGGCAGCCGATTTCTTCAAATTGAAACAGAAAATCAAAGCTTCCCGCATATGCTTTTTTTTTTGGCAAAAAACTAGACATGATTACGAAAGAAAAAATGTATGTTGTTGTATGAAATTGCTGATGATGTGCATTGAATAATGTTGACAGATGTCAAAGACATAAAAAAAAGTGTGTTGTGTGCCCAGGGTAGCTTTGTACTCACTAATGCCACCTATGAGCAAACAGCGGATTTAAGCTTATACACCTGGTATATTTAACACTCGTGAACCATATAACTTTATTTTACAACGAGCATGCATTACATCATTTTACGCAATACGCGCAAACATGTCACGACAAATTAGTGCATGCATACGGCTGTTTGCGTTTTCTACAACGTTCGACCTGAAAGGTCCGTTAGCTATTCGAAAGTTCGAAAACTGCTGTTTCGCTCTCGAGCAACATATATTCTTAATAATTTACCTTAATAATTACCAAAGCTTCATTTCCACAATCTCTCAGCAATTTCTCGTTGGATAACACTCGGATGGACCTTCGAGGTATTGATTCTTGAACAACAGGGAGGTCACCGACTGCTATTGCGTTCATGACAGAGAATCAGAAGGATGCTACATGTTAGCGGCTTGAAATTTCGAAATCTACGAGGGACAGCTCCGCTAACGTGCCTTATATATCTGTGAGTCACGAAGTGGGGACGTGCTTGAGCCTGCGCTCACTCGACATATTTCGAATTCTAGAATTTTCTAAAATGTTCTAGGACATTTTAGAATGTTTCGATTTTGATCGGATGCCATTTAATATCAAATATTGATTAAATTAATATCAAAAATACAAGATGATGGATAGAATATCGATTTATACATGCTAGAACTTTTGAAAAATAATTTCTAGTAATATTTCCGATGAGAAAATTATCATTTGAGCATTCTAAGCAATGTAAGCTTGAAAAAATAAATATCTAGTAACAGGAATACATGTCTAGCATGGAGGTTAATCGAGTTTTTTCGCGCGTAATCTTGGAAAATATTCCTTTACAGTAGTAATAGAAGTACAAGGTGCGTCATCAAAATCCGAACGAATCAAACAATTTCTTTAAACAAAATGTTTTTAATGAAAAATTAAATATTACAAAAAATCCTTTTACATGGCACTTGAGGGATCCCTGTAGAGCACAATTATTCGATACATCCCCCATTAGTTTGAATGACGGCCTCTATTCTCGGTTTGAAACATGCACACTAATGTAGCACTATCCATGCCGACGAATGCTGCCTCAATAGAGATCCTTAATGATGTCACATTGGGATGCCGAGATTTGTTTGTGACTTCGAACTACACTTTATACGTAATAGGTCCAAAGGATTTAAATTTGGGCTGTTGAGAGGTCAGAATTCCTTGGACCAAAACATATCGACGTTGTCTGAGAGTCAATTTTGAGAGAATTAAATGATTCGTATGAATCGGTACATCATCCTGCTGAAAAACATATGGCCTTTCGAACGCCACAGTTTCCATCCACGGCTACACTACATCTATCAAAACGTGCAACCATTGCCCGCTGGATCATCCGAAATCAGCGCTTGAGTCCTTTCAACGATTGCCAGGGGTCTTCGCGATGCGTTCTTTCGAGTGACTCTTTCTCGCTGGAACCTTCGTTGGACGGTTCTAAAATCATATATTTTGCTAGAACGTCATAAATGGTTGATCTCCAACGAGTACTCAGAGAATCGAATTATTTCCTGAGCGCAAAGGCTTTCAATAATTGCAAGTCTTCAATTATATTCCACACTTGATTTCAACATCGTGGACATTTTGAGAATATGTTTACTAGAAACAAGATTTTTTCGGACGCCAACAATAACCTCTGGCGGAGACACAATATAGTCGAAAGTTTAAATTGAAATTTATCCGGATTTTGGTGCTATATATCTATAATATAATAAAAATATAATAATAATATAATAAAAAAGGAGATATACCACCTCTAATATCGGTAAGACTGATTTCTGCTTTATTGGCATAGATCATAATTCGATGATGCAGATTCCAGCTATTATCGACTGTTGGTAAAACCGATTTCTAGCTTATAGACTTCAGTTATCGAAGTTATCGAAGAAGCAAGTTAGTTTTTACTTTATCGAGAGTGGAATGTTATTGACAATAACTGTCGATAAGTTTGACGCTAAAATTCGCTAGATAATACCTTTTTTAATGCGGTTTTTACTATTTTAATCAGTTTTTTTAAATTTCGATGCATCTAAGGAACTTTATCGTGCCACAAGTAAAAATATTAATAATAACAAAAAATAAAAGATTAAAATGCAATAATTTTATTAACCAATAATACGGTTATTTTCTTGAAATTTATACATTGCCTTATGGCGACATGCTCAAACCAATGTATAAATCAATTTATAGACGTCTACATTGGTCGTTATTATCGTTTTCAACGATTCTCATAGGGTTCATAAATTAATATTAATGAGAATAGTCATACGAAGAGATTGATGAAACAAAAAGTAATTAAGTAATCAAAAAGAAAAAAATTAATGAGCGCAATATAATAATAGAAAAAGTGACGGAACGTCCCATGAAGCAATTTTTTTTATGGAATTTTGACATGATGCTCTAATGCATTTTCGATGCGATGGAATTTTATACAATTTTGATGCGATGCAATTTTGGTACGATGCAATTTTATACATCTCAGTGAAGAAGCAATTTTTATGCTATTTTGGTGTGTTGCACTTTAATGCATTTTTGATGAGAAAGCATTTTTATACATTTTGTTGCAATGTAATTTTTATGCAATTTTGATGTGATGCACTTTAATGCATTTTTGTTGCGATGAAATTTTATGAATTTTCACTGCAATGCAATTTTTATACAATTATGATACGATGCAATATAATACATTTTTAACGCAATTTTATATACTTTTGGTGGTATTCAATTTTATACACTTTTGTTGCAATGCAATTTTTATACTATTTTTGTGATGCATTTTAATACATATTTAGAGCAATGCAATTTTATATATTGGCACGTTTTTTTAATGCAGTTTTGGCATGAAATTTTATGCATTTTTAATGCGTTGTATTTTTATGCACTTTTGTTGCGATACAATTTTTATGCTTTTTGTTGTGGTACACTTAAATGCATTTTTGGCTGCATTTCATAACTCACTGCCAGTACTAACAGTACTGTATAGCCTGTTCCAAAGTTCATCACAGTAAACTACGATAGCACTACGATGAAATAATGACATCATCCATTTTGTCATCACTTCTGACTGCAACTACTGCGACTAATAAGATGCAACAAGCATAGTATAAAATGGCAAAAGACAAGATAATTCTGTTGGACGCTGAAAACAAAATAAGCAAGATGAATTAATATTAAGCCAAGAAAATGCTCAGAAAGCAAAAATTTTATACTTATCTATATGTTATGAAATACAGCTTAGGTGAAATAAACGTAAAAACAACAGTAAATAGAGAACACTAACGTCTACACTAACCAATCGAGGTTTGATGTTTATACCTAATAATATTTTCAATACATTTTTAATAGATTTTGAATTTTAAATATATTTTTCATTTCTATAAATTGCATGTCAATTAATATCAGATTTTTTAAACAATCTTGAACTAAAGCTAGAACAGTGTTATAATTCTAAGGTCCAGCCCAGCTGTTAGCATTTTTTACTTATTGTTATATTGAAGTGTAATTTAATATTGAATTTAATATTAAAAAAAATAATATTTGCAGATATGGAATTTGTGCTTATGCAAGTACAAAAACGTATGCCACAAAAAACTACAGGATCATAAGTGACAATAGGTCTTTTTTGTATAGCTATATATATAATAAATCAAATTGTTTAAAATATATCTTATGTTAAAAATATATCTTATGCACAGATGTTATCGAAATCGTAAAAAGAACAGAAGAAGGCAATGAAGATATTACAAATCCATGTAGTCAATCAAATGAGAGTCGTAAGTAAATATTATTAGCCAGACATTTTGTAAATATGTATATGTAAATATTAACTGTAATTGTAACTATAATATTAATAGAAAACAGCAATGAGAATGATAGTTCAAAGTCATATTGGAATCATGTCGAAACATTATTATTAATTGAAAGCTACAAAGAAATAGAAAAAATTTTACATCAGGAAAGATGACACAAAAATAATATTGGATTAAAGTAGCACAAATGATGCAAAAAAAAAAACAATATTAACAACAATATGAGCGCAAAAATGTTGTACGAGATATCAAATATTAAAACGAACATATAAAGCAATATATGATCATAACCATAAGTCTTGCAATGCAAGAAAAATGGGAATATTATGATGTGAGCATTTTTATCTAATAGACATATCATGCACAGTTATAATTATTATTTTTAGACGAATGTATTTTTTAATTTTTACTTCTTTTGTATAAATCCTTTTTTACAGGTTATTAATGAAATGTGCGGACGTAAACCTTGGGTCGAACCATTAGCTGAAGCTGGTGTGGAAATAAAAAATCAGAAGCTAACAAAGAAAATGAAACAAAAAGAAAAAGTATATAAATTTTAATATTAATCATTTCTTATATAATTTTTATTAATTACTTTTTATATAACTTTTATATAAAAATCCAGCTTGATTGTTTGGAGCCTTTATTTTCTAATTGTGTATTACTTAAAAAATACTTTAATATTGATTCATGTAACAGTACTTTTCTATATTGTTTATGTTTATATATTATTGTTTTTGTAGAGTTAAAAAGAAGGATTAATCAAATTTTTGAAGAATATGCTAATAAATGTTTCGAGAAAAAAAAGTTTAAACGAGAGGCAGCGGAGAAAAGACATACAGAAAAAATGGAGATGCTACAACGAATGGAAAATTTTTTAGAAAAGATTATTAATAGAAAGATTGATATTACAATTTAAGAGAATAATTTAAGAGAAAAGATCTGTTAAATTTTTTAGCGTTAAAAAAGATATATTAAATCAAATATATATTAAACTTTAGTTAAAAGAATGTTTACAGTTTATAAATGAAAATCTAATTGAAAGAAACTTATAGAGATATTCATTTTTTTTAATGAAAGTTCCTTATTTTTCATCTGTTATATTAGGTGTACAACTTTGCTTCCGCCGTTTTTTTTCCGAAATTCGAGGCTTTATTGTAAAAAACTGGTTATACATTTATGATTCAAAGTATTGTCCATCGCTGGCCACTACTTTCTCCCATCTTTCGGGTAGCGTACGAATCCCGCGTCGAAAAAACTGGTCATCTTTTGAGGCTATCCACGAATCGATCCAATTTTTTACTTCTTCATAAGACCGGAAGTGCTGGTCAGCCAGGCCGTGTGCCATTGATCGAAACAAGTGATAGTCAGAGGGAGCAACGTCTGGAGAATACGGCGGGTGGGGTAGGACTTCCCATTTCAACGTTTCCAAGTATGTCTTGACCACTTTCGCGACATGGGGTCGAGCATTGTCATGCTGCAAAATCACTTTATCGTGTCTCTCGTTGTATTGCGGCCGTTTGTCTTTCAATGCTCGGCTCAAACGCATCAATTGCGTTCGATACCGATCGCCTGTGATTGTTTCAGTCGGTTTTAACAGTTCATAATACACTACGCCGAGCTGGTCCCACCAAATACAGAGCATGACCTTGGAGCCGTGAATATTCGGTTTGGCCGTCGACGTGGAAGCATGGTCGGGAACTCCCCATGATTTTCTGCGCTTGGGATTATCGTAATGAACCCATTTTTCGTCCCCAGTCACAATGCGATGCAGAAATCCCTTCCGTCTTTGCCTTTGAAGCAGCTGTTCACAAGTAAACAAACGCCGTTCAACATCTCTCGGCTTCAATTCGTACGGCACCCAATTTCCTTACTTCTGAATCATTCCCATGGCTTTGAGGCGTTTTGAAATGGCTTGTTGAGTCACTTTCAATGATCGTGCCAATTCTTCTTGATTTTGACACGAGTCTTGCTCAAGTAATGCCTCCAATTCTGCATCTTCGAAAACCTTCTCTCTTCCACCGGCCGGCTATGCCGGCCTTCGATATCAAAATCACTGTTCTTGAAGCGTTGAAACCACTCACGACACGTTCTTTCACTAATAGCGGCCTCACCGTAAGTATTTGAGAGCATTCGATGAGCCTCAGCCGCAGATTTCTTCATATTGAAGCAAAAAATTAAAACCTCCCGCAAATGACGAGAATTTGGCTCGTAAACTGACATTTTCAATCGAGAATAACTTTATGATGCAGACACAAATCGACTAATGTTTCTATGGGGTTATGTTGACAGTGCCCAAGTTTATTGTATGACGTCTATGATCTATTTATTTCGACCACCACTTATCGCTAAAGCGATAATCTATAGGAAAACGGCGGAAGCAAAGTTGTACACTTAATATGTCGTTACATCTCACTAATTGCATTAAATGATAGTTTTTTTCTATTATATGCTTCTGAATCTTAGATATTGTAATACAATATGTGTGTCACATCAATTGCTTCAATTACTTTTGGGAAATTATATAAGTTTTGTTCAATATTGAACGTTTTTTTTTTCGTCTTCCCTTGTTGGCCATTTTATAAATGTTTCAAGTAAGAAATAAAAGGCATTAACAACTTTCTGAACAGACCTCTATGCCAATCAAAGCGATCACTTACCATCTAAAATAAATAATAATAAATAAAATAAAAAAAAATAAATAAATAATATAATATGTTGATAGTATTGTATATTTTATAATAAAAGATATAGATTATATATTCATTGTTAATATTAATATCATTGTTGCATATACTTCTATAATTATCTGTAAGAATTAGGTGTTACCATTATACAAAGAGCAAGTAATAATTGCTTTTCAGGAGAGATTGTGAGCTTATCTATATTTGCACTTCTTTCTAGTGTTGGCCTTATTAAGTCTAATATGAAATAAAAAATATTTCGATTTAATCTGAAATAAATATAATATATAGTTATTTTAGTAATCACAGAAATATGTACATACCATTACATAGAATGAAAAATTATAAAAATATCGAAAATGACTTTTAAATTATCTATCTGTATCGAGATATTATATCTTCTACATATCTTTTACATCGTATTCTTAGTATATATTGTGTTTCTATCTTTTATTAATAATGTTAAAATTTCATTGGAATCCATTTCATTGGAATCACTATCAGACTCACTAGAATTTGAGTCAATGATAATACGCACAATATTAATTAACTATTAGAGTTTCTATAATTTACTGAAATATTATTGACGAAAATTAGATTAAAATTATTGTTATGTATTAGTTGCACGCAATGCTGAAAGTAATGTTCCGTTATCATTTCACTGTATACCGGCAGTATACTTGCGAAAATGAAACGCTTGTTTCAGCACACTAGAGTAACGTCATGCTGTCAGTACTGGTAGTGAGTTACGGAACGCAGCCTTTGTAGCGATGGAATTTTATGTATTATCACTGCGATGCAAGTTTTATGCATTTATGGTAAAATGAACTTTAAAGCATTTTTAGTGTGCTGGAATTTTTAGCACATTTGATAAGCTGCATTTCAATGCATTTTTATTGCGATGCAATTTTTATGCAATTTTGGTGCGATGCAATTTTTATACAATTGTGGTACTGTGCACTTTAATGCATTTTTTAAACGTTGCAATTTTGTGCACTTTTGCTGTTATGCAATTATAGTGTGATTGCACTTTAATGCATTTTTAGCTCGATGAAATTTTGTGCACTTTTAGTGCGATGCATTTCTGTATACCTTATTATGATACAAGTTTTATGTAATTTCGGTGTAATGCACTTTAATGTATTTTTGGAGCTATGTAAATTACATGCCCTTTTCGATACAATTTTATACACTTTTTTGTTTAATGCAATTTTTATGCTAATTTGATCTGTTGTCCTTTAATGCATATTTGGAGCAATGCAATATTATTTACTTTTGGTGCGATGCACTTTTATGCACTTTTAAGTACGATGAACTTTTATGCAATTTTGATACCCTGCACTTTTATCCATTTTTAGTGCGAGTTTTTATGTACTTTGGTGCAATGCATTCTTATTCATTTTTGTTACGATACACTTATATACACTTTTGGTGCGATGTATTTTTATGCATTATTGATGCATTTGTATGTAATTTTGGTGAGTTATACATTTATGCACTTTTATAGCAATTTTAGGTATTCTTTGTGCAATATATTTTTTATGCATTTTTGGTGCGATGCCATTTTATGCCCTTTTGGAATTTTTATGCAATTTTTATGCAAAGTATTTTTTATTGCATTTTTGGGGCAATTGAATTTTATGCACTTTTATTTCAATGCATTTTTATGTACTTTCGATGCGATGTTATTTTTTTGCAATTTTGATGCGATGAAATTTAATGCATTTTTATTATGATGCAATTTTTACGCTATTTTGGTTTGATGCATTTAAACACATTTTTAAAGCAATGGAATTTTATGCACTTTCGCTGCAAAGCAATTTTTATGCAATTTTTATGTGATATTTGGAGCAATTTTATACATTTTGCGATAAAAATTTACTCTTTTGTTGCAATGCAATTATATTGCATTTTAATGCATATTTGGAGCAATGCAATTTTATGCACTTTCACTGCGGTGCAATTTTTATGCAACTTTGGTGCGACGCCTTTTAATGCATTTTTGGAGCGATACAATTCTATACAATTTTGATGCGATGCAGTTTGTGCGCTTTTGGTGCAATGCACTTTTTGTGTGCATTTTGGTGCCGATGCAATTTTATGCACTTTTGTTTCGATATACTTCTTATGCATTTTTGATGTATTGTATTTTTGTGCGATGCAATCTATGCCTTTTGATACCATGCACTTTTATGCACTTTTAGTACGATGCCACTTTATGTCCTTTTGGTGCGATGGAATTATATACCATTTGATGCAGTTTTTAGGCACTTTTGGTATCATGCATTTTTATGCACTTTCTAGAGAATATAATTTATGAACTTTTGGTGCGGTGCACTCTTGGTGCGTTTAATAATCGCAATTTTAACAGACTTTAAGAGGAATAGAATCTTCATTTATGCTCAATTTAAGCGGAATTTAGACGCAATCTAAGCTCAAATTAAGCGCAATTTAAGTGTAATTTAA